AGATGATCCCTTCAGGACTAGTGGTGAGAGTGGTGATACCAGGAGGGTGAAGGGAGTGGAGTAGAAAGGGGGAACCGATTATAAGGATCTACATATAACCTCCTCCCTGGGGGACAGACAACAGAAAAGTGGGTGTAAGGAGAGAGACGTTGGACAGTGTAAGACATGACAAAATAATTTATAAATTATCAAGGGTTGATGAGGGAGGGGGAGGGACAGGGAGGGAGGGGAAAATGAGGAGCTGATACCAAGGTCTTAAGTGGAAAGCAAGTGTTCTGAGAATGATGAGGGCAACGAATGTACAAATGTACTCGACACAATGGATGGATGGATGGATTGTGAGAAGAGTTGTATGAGCCCCCAATAAAATGATTTTTTTAAAAAGCTGCTAGCCACGAGGTCAGCCGTTTGAATCCACCACCTGCTTCATAGGAGAAAGAGGAGGCTGTCTGCTCCTGTAAAGACTTAAAAGTCTCAGAAACCTATAGGGGCAGTTCTACTGTCTCCTAAAGGGTTGCTACGAGTCAGATAGGACTCTGAGTCAGGAGCGACCCCACAGTGGTGAGTGAGCTGAACTTACCAGCTCAAAAATGTAGTTGGTCAATTGGGTTGGTTTGATCATATATTAAAAAAAGAGCAACTGCCCCGGCCGCACTCAGAAATGCCAAGTGACAAGAGTTGCCTTAGGTCCCCATCTCAGCTTGAACTGTCCTGCCCTTAGGTCTTTGCTTGTGCCAAGCCCACTGTCTGTCTGTCATCCAAAGCTTCCCTCAAATGCCACTTCTTCAGTAGAGCTCCCGAGAGTCAGGATTGCTTGCTGCCTCCTCTGACTTTGGTCCGAGCACGCTATATCATCGGTGTCTTTACACCAGCTTTTGCCATTGTATCTCTCTCCTGGCCTGCCTGCTACTTGCAGTGTGCCTCTGGATCCCTCCTGATGGCCCCCCATGGGGCCTGACATGCGGTGATTGTAGCAAAGGCCTTAGTGCTCTGAGAACATGGCCTGCCTTCGACGGAGCTGCCGATAGCCCCGTGGTCAGCTGGAGAGGAGCTTCTGCCAGGGCACGGGGTGGGGAAGATCAGGCAGCAGGGAGGCTGGGCAGAGGGCCAGGCTGTCCCTACTTGGCATAGGCTTTCTCCAGGAGGCAGGGCCAGAACTCGTGGTTGTTTTTGCGAGGACATACGAAGAGGTAATGGCGCTGGTCCTTCACAGGCAGGCGGTCATCAACCACCACGTCCACCCACTGTCCACACTGCCAGAACTAGAAGAGAGATGAGCACATGTTTTAATAGAATGGGGGCAAGAGGGGGTCTTGGAACATGCTCTGCATCCCAAGCCCCAAAGGAAGCACATTTATCATATGACCTACCCAATGTGACAACTCACTCTTCCCAGACAACATCAGCCAGCTGGCTGGGCAGGTGACTGGGCACATCAGCTCATTGAGCAGATGGAGAAAATGAATCACACGTGAAGGTAGTCAAGGAAAATATTGAAAAGGAGGAAGGAGACTTGAGCTCCAGTTTAACTTTGCTACTAAAACTTGGGCTTCACTTTGGTAAGCAAGGCCAAATCTCTTTGCGGAGCCCTGGAAGGGCTGTCAGGTAAGCAGTGGACTGCTAACCCCAAGTTCCCCTGTTCAAATCTACTAGCTGCTCTTCAGGATAGAGATGAGGCTCTCTCTTCCTGTAAACATTTACAGTCTCTGAAACCTTACATAGGGTCACCATGGGTCAGAATCGATTGAATGGCAGTGGCTTTGAGCTTTCATCCCATTGTGAGTTTTACACACGCACAGACTTTCTAGCCTGAGAGTACCTAGTTGTGTTTTGTACACAAATAGCCCCTGGGGGTGTCTATGTGGAATCACAGAGGAGAGCAGCCATCAGGGGAGCTGACTGGGTGCAGGGGAGGCCACCAGGTGTTGGAAGCTCAAGGCTGGAGCTAGGATTTGTCCAGGTGTTATGGTTAATCGGGTCCACTTGGCTAGACCATGTTACCCACGATTTTGTGATCTGCCATAAGGAAAGTTTCCTCGGGGGTACGGCCTACCTCCGAGATATGTGGGCCTTCTGATCCAATCCACCAACCTCTGACCTCTGGCTCTTGGGACTGAGCCAGCAGCCTGTTGCTTGACCTCAGAAGTGGGGATTCACCAGCTCTCTCAACCCTGTGAGCCAGTGGTGTCCCCCTGACCTGCCAATCCTTAGTTCATCAGCCCTTAATGCCATGCACGCCAGGAAAGACCCAGCCAGAAGCCTGTCCCACAACTTTGGGACTTGGCAACTTCCACAGCAAGGTCAGGCGTTTCCTTGAACGCAAGGCTCTTTCTCTGCATCTCTGCATGCCTGCTCATATATGTGCGTGTGCATGCCTCACAGGCTCGTCTCCTCTAAGGAACTCAGCCTAAGGCAGGGGTAGGGAGTGCATTCAGCAAAGTGGGGACAACACGGACAGAGAGCTGGAGGCAGAAGGACAGGATGGCTCCGGAGGACCAAGCAGTTACAGCTTCGCTCCCTCCCAGCAAGCTGGCCCTGCCATTAGATGCAAAACTGGCTGCCGCTGCTGCCGCAAACCGCACAAATGAACCAGATGTTCCTTCCCCAAACAGACTGTTTTAATCTCCAGCCTTCAACTCTAAATGGTTCACCCGGGACGCGACCAAATGAGAAGATCCATAACAGAGCCAGCCTTTCACTCTCTCTCCTGGTCTCCTGGTGCTGGAGTAGTCGCGGAACTGCCAGCTTCAGGCCTGTGTCATTGTGAAGGCAAACCTCCAACAGGTGGGCCCGGGGCAGAGCTGATTGGATGCCATCGATCATCTGCCGGGTGGTGACTGGAAGCTGTCCGCACGGCTTTTCCTGCAGCTGGGTGTCCCAGCTGTTGGGCTGTCAGATCCTGCTGAAGACGTACGTCCAGAGCAGCCATGGAGACCAGGACAGAATTGTCAGTGGAGCAACAAAGATGTTTTCACAACAAAGATGTTTTCGCACTGCAGCCCTAGTCCCTGATGGTAGGACTAGTTCACGCACTCCATTGCTAACGGAAAGGCCGGAGGTTCGAATCTACCCAGAGGCACCTTGGGAAAAAGGCCATCACTGACAACCCGATGGCGTTCAGTTCTACCATGCCATCCACGGGGCTGCCATGGTTTAGAATTGGCTCTACAGCAAGTGACACGGGTGGTGTGCAATGTGACTCAGCTGGGTCTTGGCACACTTGCTGGGTCTTGCACACTTACCTTCCTATTGCAGGCAGAGTAATACAGGGAGGGGTGAGGCAGGAAGGCAACAGGGACATGATTTGGAGGGTGGACATAAATTCCATCCGCAGCCATGTGGAACGTCAATCCCACCTCCTAGAGGAAGGAGGCTCAAAGGACAGCACCACCTAACTTTGGATTTCAATGAACACCAGGGCGCATGGGTCCATTGGACCCCACCTAAGGAGATGGGCTTCAATCGTGGTTTTGCCATGGGTTGCCTGAGCCACTGTTTTGTGTCACTCCTTTCTCCAGGGGTGGTAGGAGTAGCATCGTCTTAGACCTGTGACTCGGATCCGGCGAGATTGTGAAAGGGAGGCTTGGGTTGTGAAAGTACACGTTGTTCTCCCGTCTTTCTGTTCAGCACCCGGAATAGTGCCTGGCACACAGTAGGACACTAAGGATAAGGGAGTCCTTCTGGGTGGTTTTCCTTAGAACCCATTCTCCTCCCCATCGTTTAGCACCAGCAATGCAGATTAAACTTGCTCTCTGTCTCTCTTAAAGACCATCCGATAAGATGGTTGCTCCCAAAGAGAAAGCAAAGGACGTCCCTAGTGGATGTTTACCTGTGTCTCCTGGCTCACCTCTCTGAGTGATGAGTGCTTGTGTCTGGGAAATGTCTGTGCCCAGCAACATCATGTTGGTGCTGTTTTTCACCTACTCATGAGAAATGTTTTGGGGGACAAGAACATCCAGGTTGCCCTGGCACTGACGTCATCATGTGCAGAGAGAGTGCCCAAGGAGAGACTGCATAGCCATAGCGTTCAGCACTGCAGCTGTCTTTCTCTTACCACCCAGTAGGGCATGGTGTGTCCGCCTGGCACTCAGGCAGTCCTAAGCATCTAAAGAGCATTGCGAACTCCTTGAGCCTCATGAGAGTCCAGGCCAAGCTGAACTTTTCCTTCTTTCCCTTGCTCCTCAGTGTGGTCTGTGGATTAGTAGCACTGGCAGACTGTCAAGAAGACTTACCATTACAACTCCTGGACTGCCATCAGACACACTAGATTAAAGAGGTCCCAAAGCTACCGGAAGGAAACTTGTCAGTAGCCAGCTGTTGTGGAGTGATAGCTGATTCTAGCCCATGGCAACCACATTCATTTCAAAATAGCACTGTGCTTCCGAGGACTATGAGTGGCTCATATTTTGGAAGCTGAATGCTAGGTTTTTCTTCCAAGGTGCCCCGGCATATTCTCAAATGTCCAACTTGTCTGTTTGCAGGCAAGCATGCTAAGCAGGTACACCACCCAGGGGTGCTGCGAGAAACTCAACGAAGCAAGGAAAAGATGCAAACCTTTAGATCGAGAGGGATCAATAAAATGAATCCTACCCTATAGCCAGCCAGAGACATTGGGTCAATTCCAACTCCTGGTGACATTACAAACTTAAAAATAACACAAAACTCACCGCCATCAAGTTGATTCTGACTCATAGCGACCCTATAGGACGGGGAAGAGCTACCCCTGTGGGGTTCCTAGCCTCTAACTGTTTACAGGAGTAGAAAGTCTCATCTTTCTCCCAAGGAGCGGCTGGCTTGTGGCTTCCAGCTGACGATCTTGTGGTTGGCAGCCCAACACATAATCATTACACCACCAGAGCTAGGACAAAGCAAAACTCTTCTCTCAGATTGAAATACTTGAAAATGTAATAAACTTTAGAAAACAACTCATATGGCAAAGAAATTTTCTGTTTGGGGCAAACAAACTGTGCCCAATGGCTAATCAAAAGGTTGGTGCTTTAAACCCATCCTTGGAAGGGAAGTCAGGCAATCAACTTCCCTTGAGATTATGACCAAGAAAACCATATGGAGTTCAAGATCACCAGGGGTTGGAATTGACTCAGGAGCAATTGTTATTTTCAGTATATATCCAAGGAGAAGCGAAAACTAAGAATAAATTATCTAAGAAGGTATTAAAGATAAGACATTTGATAATTGAATCCTATAAGATTTTATGAAATTCTATAGTTTAAAAAGCTCTTACCATTTAACAAAGTTTCAGTATAGTTTGAGTATAGTTTCAGGGGAAAATATGAGAGCAATAAAATTTATCCAGATAAAGTAGAAGGGAATTAATTATAAAAAAATTAGAATTCATTCTGCAAAAACAACAAAAGGAAGTAAGCATGAAAGTCAAAATCAGATTTTTTTCAAAAATCCTGGCAAGCTGGATAAGGAAAAAGGGAAAGTCAAAACTACAACTCCGAGACTGAGAAGTGGATTTACCACACGTATCAGAGATCAAATGAATGAGCAGAGCACAGTATAAAAGTTCTATGGCAATAAATTTGGAAATAAATTTAAAATTGGAAATAAAAGTAGAATTTTCTGATAAGAGTCATTATAGAAGGTATGAGATGCAAGCAGAACAATATTATTGAGTAAATAGGAAAATTTAAACAAATCACATTTTCAAAGGAACCAGGTTCAAATGCTAAATTTCTAAGGAAGCTCTTGAGTGGTGCAAAATGTTAAGCCAAGCGTTCCATTGGCTGCCCATGGATACATTAGAGGTTTGAGTCTACATAGGACACTTTGGCAGAAAGGCCTGCTTCCATCTCTTGGCCTTATTTTGGCTGATAATGTTGATCTTCTCTACCATCTCTTCCCACACATCTGTCAATCGTGGTTTAGTGTGTGTCTTCCATCTGGCGAGGTCCAAGTATATAGTCTCCATTTATCTTGTGGAACATAATTATTTGCAATGAAGAAACCATGGTCTTGCAAAATTTCATCATGTAATTTCCAGCTGCATTTCTATCACCAAGGTTATATTTTCCAACTACTGATCCTGTTTGTTTTCAACTTTTGCATCCCGATCACCATTAATTATCAGTGTATCTTGGTTGCCTGTTTGATTCATTTCAATCTGAAGAGGTTAGTAAGATTCTTTAATTTCTTCATCATTGGCTGAGTGATTGTTGCCTACATTTGAATAACGGCTGTTTTAGCTGACCTGCCTTGTACGTGTATGATATTATCCCATGACAGACAGCATCGTACTTCAAGAGAGATCCTGAAATGGTTTCTTTGTCTTTTGGGGTCAATTTCTGTCCATTTCAGGTCACTAATGGTATGGACTGCCGAAAGAACAAAGAAATCTGTCTTGGAAGAGATAAAGCTACGTAATGCTCCTTGGAGGCCAGGAGGGTAAGACGTCAGCTTACATCCTTAGGACGTGTTGTCAGGAGACACCAGTCCCTGGAGACTGTGCTTCGGAGGGCTTTCGTGGACTTGGCAAAGGAGAGGGAGGGTGAAGGAGAGGAAGGCCTCCGAGGAGATGGACTGTCCCAGTGGCTGCAGCAGTTGGGTCAGGCAGGGGAACAATTGTGAGGCTGGCGCAGAACCAGGCAGTATTTCCTTTTGCTGTGCACAAGGTCGCTATGGGTCAGAACCGACTTAGCTGCACCTAACAACAGTCATGCCTAGGATATGGATCTTTATGCCTTCCACTTCACTTCGGATGACTTGAAACTTTTAAGATTGTAGCTGCCGCTGCATCTTATGAACCATGCCTCATAAAGCAAGGAAGGTTCTGCAAAGTTTTTTCCAATCCATATCATTAAGGCTGACTTTGCTTTGAAGAGACCGATCTCCCCCAGTTGTACTTTGCATGTCTGCCAACTAGAGAGGTTCATTTGCTGGGACTATATCAGACCACGACTACTCATAACGTTTGCAGTGACAAATCTTTCAGCAGTGGACTGGCTGTTCCTTCTTCCTTGACTGAATGCGTCTCAGAGCTCCCCTGAAATCTGCCCACATCAGTGACCCTGATGGTATTTGAAATACAGGCGGCATAGCTTTTAGCATCTCAGCAACATGCAAGCCACCCCAGTATGACACACTAACAGAGGAATCTAATGATTATCAACTATCATTCCAGTTACTACAATCCAAAAGAGTATGCAAAGCTTAATTAGTCCATTTGTAAAAGCTTGCATAAATTAAACATGGTTAAAAAAAAGCAGGGCTAGAAATCAATTTAACTTTTGATATAGGTGCAAAAATTTGAATACAATGTTATCAAATCGAACCCTAAAGGTTTAAAAAGAGCCTGTTGCTAACATCAAGAAAAGGCAAGATTTTGCTTTTTGCTCCTCTTATTCTAAACGGAGATGGTCTAATGAATGCAACAAGACAAAAAAGCACACCAAGTTCTAGAAATATTGAAAGGAGAGGCATAATTATTTCCATTTATAGATTTTATTAGATAACTAAAAAAATCCAAAGACTCCATCTAAGAGAGTAGAATAAAAGAATTTGGTAAGTTTAATATCATAAATATTAGCTTTTGTCTCTTTCATCAACAGCTAGCTAGAAATGAAGGGGTAAAAAGCTTCATTCACAATAACTACAAAATTGTAAAACAGCTGAGAATCAATTTGCCAAGAAGGGTACAGTCCCAACAAGAAATCCTAACTGTAACATTTTATTAAAGGACATAAAACTAGCTACGAATTAATGGAAAGATTGATCATATTTCTCGAAAGGAATAATTGGAACATTAAGAACGTTATTTTTCCAAATTAATACATAAATCTAAGGCAGCTTCACTCCACATCAGAGTGGCTTATCTATTTTAATTAGACGAAACGATTTTGGAATTCTGTTGGAAGGAAAAAATGTGCAATGATTATGAAGATTTTTTGTTTTTGAGAAAAGACTAATCCTTCCAGGTGTCCCAACCTACTCTACAATGATTGTCAACATCGTAACATGACATGGCCCAGGAACAGACTCAGAGACGAATTCTCAGCGGTGGGTACCAGGCCCTTGAGAAATGGCTCTTTTCTTCTCCTCATCATTCCTGCCTTATCTCTTTATTTGCATTAAGATTAGCCATCACCTTCCCTGTGTGTTGTCAGCTGATAACCCAGCTAGAATCCTTTCTGGAAGAGGCCCAGTTACTGCCTGAGTGTCACTGCCATCTCTGTACCAGACCTTGGGACTATGTCATCGATTCATCTCCCTTGGGCTCATGGCAAATCTTATCTAAGGAGGATCCAACAGAGCACATACCCGGAAATGGAAAATCCCTGCATACTTGTGTGAAAAGCTTTGGTCCGTCGGCAGGATCCTCTGAAGACACTGCGGGCTCTGGGTCAAGGATCCGAGGGCTGCCAGGACCCAGCAGTCTCCTGTGAGGGAATAAATCAGGAGAGGCTGCCGTCACTGGGAGCTCCACCACGCCCATTCACAGGTCTCTCCCCCAGAGTTCACACACAGCCCTCCTTCTGAATAACGTCCTGGACTCTGTCCGCCCCCCCCGCCCCCATCCTTCTCGGAGAGAAGACAATCAGAGAAAGAATGCACTGAGTGCTAAAGAATGGCGCACAGTAGGGGCGGTGCCGCAGTGGTGGCGAAGGTGGAGGTGGTCATGGAGGTGGTGGGTGGTGGTGAGGTGGTGGTCATGATGGCAGTGGTGATGGTGATGGTGATGCTGTGGGGAGATAGGTGGAACACAGGACTGGCTGTGGAGGAACTGGCAGGCCACCTTTCCTATTGACTCTGTTGTCCAAAGCGAAAGGGAGAAATGATTTGGCTGCTGCCATTGCTGACAGTGGTAATCTTCTGAGTTGCCGAAAACAGATTTGTGTTTTTCTTTTGCTAATATGGGCTCCTCTTTCCCCATGTCAGGGCCTCTCTCGCTCACACAGAAATATTTGCCTCTTGTCCCACTAGTGTCTCCCTGGATGTCATTGAAGGACTCTTTTGGATATGGCTCCTTCCCACCCCCTGTGTCTTCCCGCCTTCAGCACAATGAACATCGTGCTTGATCCATGGGCTAGAGATGCCCGCAGTGAGGTCTCCAGTTTAGGTGAAACCCTAAGAGGGGACTTAGTGGCTGGCATGGGGCTTTCCTCACCACTGAACGCACACCAGTAAGTTTCTGGCCGAAGCCCAGTGAGCCCACGAGGCAAAGTTGCAGCCTGGGTTTAATCTATAAGCTGGCATTTGACAGCAGACTTAGAGTCTTTGCTCCAAAGAGTTTCTTATCCATGTCTGCTGTATCCCCTCCCTTTCTGCCCACCTTCCCTCTCCCCCAGCTCCAGTGCCCCCAGTCCTACCCCGTCTCAGCTCTGAATATCTTTTGGCCACCTGCCAGAGCCTTCCTCTGTCCCTCAGGTCCACACCCCTCAGCTCTTCAGCAACTCTCTTGCTCCTGCGACCGCATTTGGGGTGAGGTAGGATGGGATGGAGTGTGTAGGGTGGGGTTGGTGCAAGTCAAATACCCCGCTTTCAAATCCAACTTTGTCACTGCTTGATTGTTTGGCATGGCATCAATCTTTTGCCTCTTGGACCCTCAGTCTCTCCATATGTAAAGCCAATAGGAGGACTCTGGTGGCAGAATGGTGAGATGTTTGGCTGCTAACCAAACCCAAGGGTTGGTAGTTCAAACCCTCAGAGTAGTTCCACCAGAAAAAATCCTGGTCCTTTGCTTCTGGAATGATTCTCACTGCCATCGAGTTGACATCGACTGACAGCAACCCCATTGCACAGATTGCCCCTGTGAGTTTCTGAGACGGTAACTCTTTATGGCAATAGAAAGCTCCCCGTTTCTCCCATGGAGTGGCTGCTGGTTCCGAACTGCTGACCTTGGGGTAAACCAGCCCAACAAGTAACAAGTTCACCACTAGGGCTCCGTCCATAAAGATTACAACCATGAAAACGCTCTCAGGCATGTCTACTCTGCCCCATGGGGTCACCTGGGAGTTGGACTCGACCTGATGGGACCTAGCAACGAGATAGAGATGTTTCTAGAAGAAGTAACTGAAACAAGCGAACAAAAAGCCCTTTGCCAACTCCCAGTGACCCCATGTGACAGAGCAGAGGTGCTGGACAGAGTTTTCTTGGTTGTGATCTTCACGGAAGCAGAGCACCAGGTAACCAACACACGCCAAATATCTGCCCCAGCCAGGGAAACACATAATTAACATGTCTCCCCCTTGACCTGCCTCCCTTTTCATCTTCCAGCAACAGATGTACACCCCCTTACTTAGACCCTGGGGGGCCCTGGTGGTGTAGTGGTTACACACCGGGCTGCCATCCCCACGGTTGCCAGTTTGAAACCACCAGCAGCTCCACAGGAATAAGGCTGGGCTTTCTACTCCTGTCAACAGTTACAGGTTTGGAAACCCATGGTGAGTGTGTGTGTGTGTGTGTGTGTGTGTGTGTGTGTGACTACCAGTCAGCACTGACTGCATGACAGTGAGGGGGTTGGTTGCTTGGTTGGTTACTCAGATCTTGGACTACACTCTGGGATCACTTTCTCCTTCTCTTCTGAAATTCCTCATCTAGCTTGCGGGCTGTCGACCCAGGAGGGAGTGGTCACGCACAGTAGCAGGGAGAGATCGCCCTTACCGCTTCAGGAGCTGCACAGAAATCTGGTGTCCGAGTGGGCCTCCCCATCCCTCTCTATCCATCGGGCAGCTTAGGGCAGCCAGGCTTAACCCTGGGTTGGAAGGGAAGAGTTCCATTCTCACCTGCTTGGCCTTGTTGGATGTCAAATCGGCTTGCGCCTTCCAGGATAAAGTAAGGGGGGCCCCTTGATGGATCCATCTCCTTAGGAAAGAGAGAGAAGAACCATGAACATTCTGTTACAGAATTCAAGGCATCATCCACTTTGTCTTATGAAGGGTAGGGCTTAATTCTGGAATAGGTGCTTCCGTGTCCAGTTAGGAACATGCCCCGTAGTCTTGAGACTCAACTGCTACCAGGAAGTGGCAGGTATCAAAGGGTTGTGCTGCTGCCTGACAAGTCCCGCCACAAACCCAGCAGCAAACGGTGGGAAGAGGGAACGTAAGTAAGCAAGGACTTTGGATCCTGACATCTGCCAGGTTGACATCCCTGTCACCACAAGTCCATTTTTATTCAGAGGTTACGAGCCATAAGAAAAGAAAAGGAATAGGGAACCTTTTATTACAGGAAGCTTTTATAAGTATCGCAAAACATGCTAGCTTTTCTTCTGAAATGTTATCTCTCAGAACCAGCTTGGGCTTTCTAGACTTCAGGTTCACCCCGAGACATGTGTGTGCACAAGCTGTTGCGCTATTCAGATCGTTGTTCTCTGGCTAACTCACAAATAGACCCTGGGAGCCCGCGGGCCCTCTATCTACAGGTGCTATTACAGGTGCCCCTCCAGCACACATGCTGTTCCTAAAAAAGGGGTTGCTAGAGGGCCCTGCAGTGCCATGGCATTTGGGCAGCGTTTGGTGTGCTCTTAGATGACAGGAGATGTATGAAAGTTTTCCCGGGGAGCTTTGGATGGTTTTAGGGGTCCTCCAGGCCAAAGTTTCAGCTTCTGCGCCAGCTTCAGCCAGCCCTCTAGATTGTCCCCTAGCAGGAGCTCCAGGATATAAGTCTCTGGACGTGTCCTTTCTGTGCAGCTCTTCCTGGGTTTATGCTGTCAAAGTTCGTGTCATTTGGTAATTGTTCCTCTATCATTTCTTTCCACAATGACAAATACATCCCCAAGAGAGCGCAGCTGCAAAGTGGAACTGGATTCATTTGCTCAATAGCCATCAAGGGAAGCAGTCATGTGCCTTGTCAAGCCTGGTGGGGACCAGACGAAGAGATAGGTAAAGGTGTGTAAATCTGCAAACACCTGGGCCCCAGCTGAGGGCCCTACCTTCTTGGCCTTCCTCTTCAGAGAACTGACCTTGACAGAAGGTTGGGAGGGGCAGTGCTCTCAGGACAGACTTAGGCCCTCTTGGTGAGAGGTCATGGGAGGTGCCATCCCAGGCAGAAGGTGGGCTTTCTCCCACCATAAGCAAACTAGGAAGACTGTCCTAAGGGGCTTCGGTGATGGTGAGCAGGAATGGATGAAGCTGGGCTCCCAGTTGTAAAACAAACGGAGGCATTTCTATGCCCTCTAATTGCCCCAAAGAGGGCCTGTTCTCAGTGAACCAGGACTATGATGTTCTCCACTCACTGCAATGAAGCAAGAGGGTGGAGGCCCTCAGGTATTTTACACTGAGAGCAAATGCCTGTTGGCTCCTTTTCCCTACCCACTGCTGTCCGTGTGCTGCTTGCCCATTAGTCCTTGGCAGAGAAGGGGAGGGAGTGTCTGAGAGTTAGTTCAGACAGCCCTGGTGTGGAATCCTGTTCTGATATTTCCCCTTGAGCGTCCCCGAGCAACTCTCTTTACATGACTGAACCCCAGTTTCCTCCCGCGTCCAATTGGAAACATACGGGAACATATGGGGGAATCGACAGAAGGCCATTCAAACAATGGCTGCTTTGTGCAGAGCCCCACGCAGAGCCGGGCTCTTATTCCTGGATCCCCTCTCGCTGGCCTTCCTCCAGCCTTGCGGAACAAGGGGGCTCCTTCCACTTTGCAAATGGGGACGGGTGTGACGTCCTTAGCGCAGCGTCTGGCAGAGTGCGTGCTCAATAACGATTGACTCCCTTCTTCGGGAGAATTGGAGAATGAAACAGGCCGTGCTCAGAGACGAACTCATCGTCTCAAACACATTCATACAAGGTGGGCTAAAATCATCAATTAGCAATGAACTCATGGATCTCACAAAAAAGTATGAAAGAAAATAGGAAGGGAGTGATAAACAACTATTGAATGAAAAACAAACAAAACCAGAAGACTTGGTAAAACAAAAAACGTGACATATTTAGCGGAAGGTGTATATAGACCCAACCTTTGGCAAATGTGGTATAGAATCCCAAATGAACAAAATTAGAAGTAAAAATGAAGCCCTAGCAATATAAACCACGGTGAACAGTCCTGCGCCGATGCAATTATGCTGTTGATTTTATGACAAAGATTAATAGAGTCAATATGAGTCACGGTGGTAAATAACCTAAAGAATGAGTAGCCTTTATCAAGTCCTTAAAGAGTATCACTTAAGGTTCTTAAAGAAAATCTTCCCTAAACTTAGCAAGGCTTCCAGGTAATAATTTCTGGTTGAGTTCTCTCAAACTTTCAAGGGATAGAGCAATTCCTATTTCACTTATTCTGTCAGTACCTTGAAAAGAAAGGACAGCATAGCCATGTTGTCTTTCCTGAGCTAGCGCACGCGCGCACACACACACACACACACACACATTGTTGATTAATCACACTGATGACATGATTCTGAAATTATAAATAAATATCCAGTAAATAAACCAACAATATTCAAACCAAACAGCCTCACCCACCCACCCACCCACCCAAAATTAATTGACTTGGACTCATAGTGACCCTATAGGACAGAGGAAACCTGGTCCTGTGGGTTTCCAAGACTAAATCTCCCTGAGACTTAAAAGCCTCCTATTTCTCCCATGGAGCAACTGGTGCTTTTGTACTGCTGACCTTGAACTTAGCAGCCCCACTTGACCACCAGGGCTCCTGAATCCATAATACAAATCCACTATCATCATTTTATGGCTTTGCCATAGAATGGAGGACTTCATACTGGTACATTGGATTCTATATCCCCTACTGATTCAGAATCTACATTTGAACAAAATCCCCAGAGGATTCTTAGGTGCACAGTTAATGTGAATTCTGATTCCATACATTGAAGATAATGCAAATTCTTAGCTGGGAATTGAACCAGAATGAACCTGTTCAAAGCCCTGGTGGAATGGCGGAGTTCAAGGATGGTTTCAGAATAGTATAGCTAATAATATACAATAGCACTTAAATGGGCCAAAGAGAAAAACTTATATCAATAAATGCTGTGAAGGCATTTTGTAAACATTTTCTGATTTACCAATACATTTAAAAATCAAAATTCATAAACAAATTTTAGCTAATTGTAAAGAAAGATATTTTAATGTGATGACAATTAAGTAGCAATGATCTCAACTCTTACAAGTTTATGAGAAAACATTGGAGTCATTTGCATCAAAGTTGAGCATAAGACAAATTCCAACATCTATGTCTCCTGTCCTCGAAGAATAACTTTTTCACAGTAGATTGTCTTTCTCTCCCCCACTTGGCTGTGAAGTCTTACCAACTACAATCTTGTGCTCTTCAGTACTGTAGCTAACGACACATGGGGCTACTTAAATTGAAATTAATTTCAATGAAATTAAGTGACAAGTTCAGTTCTTTGTTGCACTAACCACATTTCCTCAAGTCAGGCCTGCCATATAGTTAGTTTACATAACTGCTGGTCATTAAAGTTAGTATTAGACCAGGCTGGCTTTGGGTTCTCTTCCAATGGTGGGGTTAGGCAGTTGCAACGTGTGTGGCATTTCCCATTGTCTGGAAAAGCCTGTAATGTGGCAGTGGCCTTAGGAGCTGCTAGGGCTACATCAGTGGTTATGTGTCACGTATCACTCATCTTTCTTGTTTCTGCCTCTCATCTGGAAAATGGAGATTATAATAGTACCTCCTCATAGCTATAAAGTCAGGCCTAACATAGAGTCAGTAGGCATAACTGCTGGCCATTCAATTTAGTATTAGACCAGGCTGGCTGTGGGCTCTCTTCCAAGAGTCCTTCTACCCACAGCTGTAAACATAGCAGTTAAGGCCCTCCTAGTGTAAAAACGCAAGTGCATTGGCCTTCTCTTCTACCCGCCCACTTGGTAAACAGGTCATCTCAAGGTTTCTCTATTGCACACGTTGTTGTGATGTTGTATGCTGCCAATTTGATGTCCAACTTTTTACAACTTCATAGGGCAGAGTTGTTTCTGAGGCTGAATTTTTTTGTGTGTAATGGAAGAGATTATTTGATTATTCAGCAGCGAAAACAAAGTTGAGGTTTTCATTAGAATCTTAGAGCCTTAAAACGGTTCCGATTCCAGTTTTACTTCTTTAAAATGTGTATTGTGACGCGAATGAAAGCTTTCAGAGGAAACTGGTTTCCATTCAACCATTTGTTTTGTGACCCTGCTGGCAGCCTCACAATGTAGCAACACTTCCCATTTCCATTTGCCCCTTTTTCTTCATCTCTGCCTTCTCCACGTCATCCCTCAGCAAATGCTGCCCTTGTTTGAGGAGGGCCCCCCATGCTTTTGCTTCCTCGATATGCCTATCTATTGTTTGACTGGCAGTTGAGCCATGGGGTGAGTTCAGTTTCAGACCTGAAGAGTGACTATGGGTCCTTGTCTCTGAGACTTGACCAGTTTCCATCCGACTAGTATACTTGGTCTTTTTAAAAACTATTTTGAGTTTGATCCCGAACACTCCATTGGGATCACTTCCAGAGTTGACAGCCGCGGTAGCCAGGTACCTGTCCTCTTGGTCCGGGGGGGTGAGGGTGGGGGTCGAGGCTGAGGTCCTCATGGTCCACTGGTCTTTTGGAGCAGTGATTTCCATGCACTTGATTTTCTACACTCTTCTTTGCTCCAGACAGGGAGAGACCTGATACACCTCAGTCACTAGTCACCCGAGCAGGACGCAGAATATCGCCTTTGTGGACTTTGTCTGACAGTGGACCTTGATAGTCCCTGTGACTACAGTCCTAAGATGAAGCTGACATCTCTTATTAATTGCAAAATATTTAGCTTTAAAATAATCTTATTAGCATTTAATTTACATCCTCTATAATTAAGTGATTTAGATGTGTTAAGAAGAGTTATGTAATCACCACCACAATCAATTTTAGAACATTTTCTTCATTCTTGAACCCATTACTATTAGCTCCCCATTGCCTCTCAATTTCCCGTGCTATAATCCTAAGAACTATGAATCTAGTTACCATCTCTTAATATTTACCTATTCTGGATTTCATATGAAAAAAAATCATACCAAAAAATCTCCAACAAGGACAATAAAATGAAACACAGAAAAACCTCATTCCAAGAGAGAGGGGACATACTAGAAATTAGAACACATTAAAAATGGATCAAAAGGGAAAACAAGTGATAATATGTGAAATTTTAACCTAAGCATATCTATAATAACCCACTTTCCAATGCACTCTGTCTGAGGGAAAACTATTTACATCCCGATCAATGATCTGGGGGGCGGGGGGTGGAAATGGGGGTGGGGGGTTCAAAGGAGGCTTAATCCAAGTGGAAACTCTGCCAATATGATTTTAGGCTTTTACTGTCATCTGTAGCCTTCTGAAAAGTGGTGTCCAGAATTTAAACTTTCATGCAGTTGCCTCCTCTGATCTTAGATTTTTATTATTTATAATCCTTGGATCACATGGGCTGGCATGCTCCTTCTGTGTGGATTTAGTGGACACCACACTTAGATGGTTGCTTCTTTTAAGATAAACCTTTAAGACCTCAGACTTGATTCTTTCTGGTAGACAGACACTATCCTTCTTCACCACACTTTGCTATAGCACCCATGCCTTCAGTGACCACTTCAAGAGGGCAAGTATTGAGCAGGGCTACATGGTAAGAATTGATTGTTCTTAGGTTGGGGATTAAGATTAGGTGTGAGCTCAAAATCCATTTGTATATGTAAAGTTTATATATATTTGGGTCCACTTTAAAGGCAGTATTTCCAGCTTGTTGAGAAATAATTTGACTAACCTCCAAGAGGCATTTGGTAATTCTAGTAATAGTATCATTAATCTGAAGCTTAATAGCAGATTACAGGGTCTTTCTCCTGCAGAGCAGCTGCTGGGTTTGAACTAGTGACCATTGGTTAGTATCTGAGCACATAACCCTTGCTCACATTGCACATATGAAACTTAAAGCCTGAGTCATGAATGCATATAGTCATTATTCATTCATCCAAATCTTAACAGAATTCCTATTGGGTACTGAAGCCCATGTGAGGAGAACTATAGCACCTGGTGGCAGGAAGCCTAGTTTAAATCGAAGACCCTTCCCTCACTACCCTAACTACCCAGACCACCTTGAGCAAGTTGCATGGCCTGTCTCAACCTCAGTTGAGGTTTCTTAAAAATTGGGATGAGCAAGGTAGACAAATTAAGGGAAGACATATGGAAGTTCTGTAAGGACTACCAGTTGTGAAAAGAGTACAAAGAAATAGCATCTGTGCACACAAAGAATTGGTGGAATGACAGATGACCCTCCTGTCCACTCTGGATATGATTTTGAATGAGGAGAGATGTGAGTGTCAAATGGACTTGGCCTCACCTGCCTCATTTTGGATGATTCTAGGTGAGTCGTTTTACTTCTGTTTTCTCAGCTTCTTCTTGAGCCCACCCTTCACACCCAAACCCGTTGCTGGGACTGGATCCTAAAATAACTCTCAACCCTTTTAATAGAAATGTTATGAACTCAACAATACTATAAATATCATCTTACATCTATTGCTCAGCACCTTGTGAGGGGGGAAAAAAGAATCACAGCTTCTGAAAATAACAAAGGGAGAAAAGGTGACCCTTCAGAACTTATTTAAACAGTGCGCTCTGACTCCACCGTCCTTGGAAGGCGAAGATGAGAAGAAGAGGGCAATGGCTGGTCACCTACTGCCCCTAAGGGCTAAGGTGAGACCCAGGAGGCCCAAACAATACTGACTGTCTTTAAGCAGCATCTCCAGCCACGCCTAGTCCCACGTGCCCTCCCCTTCCCCCAAGCTAAAACTCCGCCCCAAGTTTGGGCAAGCAGTGCTCAGCATCTGGAGTGTTCCCTCCTTTGGGGAGAATGCAATGATCTGGCCACATGCAAGCCGAGAAATGCTTTTTGAAAGCAAGGACCATACAGTATCATCAAATATTTTGTATGCCCTGACTTGGCTTTATAAAGAGCACTCAGTAGAGGGCTTGTCATTTAGTCAGTGCTCATAATAATTGCTGATATCATTATCACTCATTTACTAGACATTGTATGTATTGCCTGGCAGCTTGGGGAAAAACTCAATAGGAAGTTTGCCATCAGTCCCCAACCCGAGTTCTTTGCACCAAGAGTTGAGAATGTTGAGTCAGTGGGGAAATTTCATTGAAGGTTGTCTTTGTTAGGTGTGGTCAAAGAGTTTTTCACTCATATCAACACCATTCAAAAGATTAGACCTGCTGTGTACAGCTTTCTAGGCAGCGATCTTTATGGGAGCAGATGGTCAGGCCTTTCTCTCATTGACCTTCCAGGAGAGTTTGAACCACATCAGTCGCCAGCCAAGCACTGTTTGCAGTTATTCTAGATAAATCAGCGTGGCTTAATATACGTCAGAATTTGTGGGGTATGATCAATGTTGCCCTGCAATACTTCCCTTGTTTTACAGAATGTGCAAGAAATTTGCGTATTGATGATCAACCTCTTACATGATTGAAAATACAAATATAAAAGGGTTTCAAAAGTTCACAGAAAATGTCATTACCTTTTCATTCCATTTTCCTACACACTTAAAAAACACTCTTGCATCATTAAGGCAGTTGGACATCCCCTCACAGAAGGGTCACAGGAAGAGACGAGCTAGTCAGGGTGCAGTAAAACACCAATGAAACATACAACTTTCCTCTAGTTCTTTAATGCTCCCCACCCCCCACTATCATGACCCCAATTCTACCTTACAAATCTGGCTAGACCAGAGCATGTACATGGGTACAGATAAGAACTGGAAACACAAGGAATCCAGGACAGATAACCCCCTCAGGACCAATAATGAGAGTAGAGAAACCAGGAAGGTAGGGGGCAGGTAGGGGGAGAAAGGGGGAACCAATCACAATCATATTAACACCCCCCTCAGGGGTCTAATAACAGAAATGTGAGTGAAGGGAGTCAGCAGTCAGTGTAAGACATGAAAAACAAATTTATAAATTATCAAGGGTTCATGAGGGAGGGAGGGCGGGGGAGGAAGGAAAAAATATGGAGTTGCTACCAAGAGTTCAAGTAGAAAGAAAATGTTTTGAAAATGATGATGGCAACATATGTACAAATGTGCTTGACACAACTGATGGATTGTGATAAGAGCTGTAAGAGCCCCCAATAAAATGATTTTTAAAAAGGAGAGAGAGAGATAAGTCAATTATTTTAATTCCTTCTACAGCATAGATGACAGGCATGAACCCTTCCTGCTGATTCAGTTCCCCCAAGGGGAAGGGCGGGGACACGGAGAACAAGGGATCGGCTCAATGATGGAAGCGAAGAAGGTCCTAGAGATCAACTCTGGCTTTCGTGATCCTGTGGTTTCCCATTATCAAATGAGAAAGACGTAAGCGTTTACTCTAGTAATGGACTCAACCCTAGAACTGGACAGGGAGCCCAGGGCTCCTGGTTCCTGGTACAGGGTCTTTCTGACTTACCGGTGGACAGAGCACTGTTGCAGAGAGACCAGGTGAATGTCATTCTCCTTCCAGTTTGGTTCGGGCCAACCCTGAACACCATGAGGCAGCCCAGAGGGCGGGGGAGCGGGGAGAACTGGGGGGGTGGGGCTCACTCACCGTTGGGCGCTTCCACGTTGGGTTCTGGAGTTCTTTCTCCTGGAGCAGCTTCAGGCCGATGGAGGAATCAGCCGCAGGGAATGTGTCATCCTCAAACAGCAGGCCCTTGCTTAAGCAATGATCCCGTAAGGATTGAAAGTCCTGGCCCTTGAACTTTACAACTGAGGTCTCAGCTAGAGGATCCTGATGATAAGCCATGCCTCCTGAGAAGATGTCTGGAGTGTTCTCCTTCTGCGGAGAAAGAGGAATAACGTTCAGGCATGGGCCGTCAAATCCTTGGCATCCTCGGATGTCTCTCTCCCTTTACACACAAGGAGACAGACGCCTATACCATCCTTGTTGACACAGCCAATTGGAAGTCTGGCCTAGAATTCCGGCATCCTTCCTCCAACTTCCTCTTGCCATCCACTGCCCTGTACAGTTTCTTTGTGTGCCCAGAGGACAGGGGAGTATTGGTACATTTAATGAATAGTGAGTCCCAACCTTGTTCCACAGACTCCTCTCAATGCAGGCCCACCACAGACAAATATGACATGATCTTTATCCCCCACGGGCTCGCTATCATGTGGGAAAGACACATTAGACATTTTAACCATGAACTTTTAGTCAACAGCTGTTCAATGGAAAAGGTATACAAGGTTCTGTGGCTATAATGAAGAGGTGCCTCCGCTCATCCAGCAGAGGGTGGGTGACACTCACAGAGGCAGCCACATCTGAATCGGGTTTTGACGGCAGAAGGCAAAATGCCAGGTAGAAAAGTGGAGGGAAGATGAACGTATTTTTAAAATAGGTTTAGGTGACCTGAGTATGCCACACACAGACACCCAAGAACTGGGTTGGAAAGGTCATGGGTGTTGGCGGGAGTGGGCAGTGGCTGGATACACTGGGAGCAGAGGTGGTTAAGAGGAGGCTATTTGGGGCAGAGATGGGTAGAATGGTGGGCTGGAAAGCCGGGTTATGCAGGCTTTTATATCCTGCAGGGCTATGGAAGAGGTGAGGTATGTGTCTATGTGTGTCTTGTTGGAAGCAAGTAGAAGGGCAGGTGGAAGGGACGGGAATGGACTGGCATGGGGAAATAGCCAGGAGGCCTTTGTCCCCAGGAGAGGTGGTGGTTGGGCACTGGGAATGAAGATGGCGGCGGGAAGACAGATTCCAGGGTCATTTAGCAGTCAGCTTCGATAGATTGGATGAGGAATTGAAGATGGGGGGAGGAGAAGGAAATGGACAGGCAGTGTGATGACTGACCAAATGGGTTTTGGAGTCTACCATCTGCTTTCATTACCTTCCTACTGTTTCGGCAATATTGAGCTAGTAGTCAAGCCTTCTGAACTTCCTGTTTCTCCATCTGTACGGATTTATGATTCCAACCTCATAGATTTTGATGTGGGCATTAAATGAGATTGGACAATGTATGCCAACCACAGTGGCTGCCATTCAGCTATTGTTCGCTGTCACCAGGTCCTTTCCAACTCATATGCGCAGAGTAGAACTGCTCCATTCAGTTCTCAAGCCTTGGAACTTTCCAGAACTAAGTTGCCAAGCTTTTCTTCTGAAGTGCCTCTTGGGTGGATTCGAGCCACCAACCCTTTGCCCAGTAGTCAGACGCTTAGCCATTGGCACCACCCAGGAGGCCTGACACACAGTAGGCATTTAGAAATGCTGAGGATTGCTGAGGAATGTGGAGGTTTCTTGTTTGGGTGGTAATGGATGCCATTTACCAAAATATGCACCTGCATCCTCTATCTGTGAGGAGGCAGGACTAGATCTGAGTCCTGAAGTCACACTTCCAATGTGGGACTCGGAGGTCCTCCTTAACCTTTGGAGCCATGCCTTTCAAGCGTCTTTAACCACGACGGTCTGCTTAGATGGCACCATAGACCCCGTGCTCCTGTTCCTGCTTCGTAGTGAAAAAGGAATCAGACAAAAAAGAATTAGAGGAGAGCGTCAAGGAATATGTTATAAAGAAGGAATATGAACTTGCAACCAGGATTTTGACTCATAGGAGAATGTGTGTCAATGCGGAATCATAGCAATCTTCTCAATGTGCCTACAGAAGCTGTGCATTTTATAGCTGGCACACGCTTCTAGACAAATATCACCCATGAAGAGTCACGGCACAAGCATGTTTGCAGGGAATTATGCATTCAATTGTCTGGCAAACAAGGTATGAATAATTTCTAGGTCCACGATTAGATCGAACCATATAAAACTGCCAAGTTCATAGGTCAAAAATGGCTGTATCCAGGCAAAATCCTATTGCTTAAGCTAAGATCAAGAATGGTTGAATGCAGGTAGTTTCTATGGGTTAGAAAATATGGACATTCACCTTCAATCTGGTTCTTGAACAGTAACAGGCTAAGATATGCCAATATGCCCCTCCTCACACCATCAGGTGCCTGCAGAGCCCACACAAATTAAGGAAATAGTGGTGAGGAGGAAATCGCAGCAATGCAGCATCAGTGAGCAAGGAAACAGTGATAGGCATGGACCACAAGCTCGAGACAAAGGCAGTGCCACCTACAGTTAGAGAGTTGCTGATGATCATGGTCTGCCATCTTTCTAGACACACTCAGGGCAGGGGAACCGACTCAGCCCCAGCCCTGCCACGCTGCCTACCTCCTGGTAGAACCTTGGATTAGAGAACTCGGCAAACTCCACAATGAGCAAGTTTAGTTGATGAAAATCACATTGTAGTTTCCCCCAATGACACAGTGGGGAGATTGCTAGTAAGCGGCCCTGAAACATATGTAAAAATAAAAGCTTAAGCATTTTGCTCCATTTCAACATAAGAGCCATACCATGGCCTTACATTTTAGGATCGGTTCCCCGTCTGTGTGGCGAACCCTCTCTGCCCACTAATCAGGAGTAGTGCACTGGCCCGACTTTGGGAACCTATGTTTTAAGAACCATTTAAAATGGACATAAGAATACTATGCATGCCAGGGGGTTGTGGTGAGACACATATGAACCTATGCATGAAGCTTAGTCCTTCTTCTCTCTCTCTCTCTTTTTGTTTTTTGCTGCCGTCTGGGTTGGTTCCCACCTCATGGCAACCCCTGCACAATGGGATGGAATATTGCTCAGTCCCGTGCTAGTCCCATGATTGGTTGTGGGTCAGATCACTGGGACCCATAGGTTTTTATTGGCAGGCTTTTGAAAGTAGATCATCAGGTCTTTCTTATAGTCCAGCCTAATCTGGAAGCCCTGCTGAGACCTATTCAAAATCGCAGTGACATGCCAGCCTCCACTGACCATAGATGCTTGTTAAGCATGAAGAATATTGGCTAGAAATTGCACACCTGGTCTGTCACATGGAAGGCAAGAGTCCTCCTACTGCATCACTATAAGCCCATTCTTGGTACAGTGACTGACAAATAGGAATCGACCTATAAATAATGGCTATTACCAAGGAGCCCTGGTGGTGCTGTGGATTAGGTGTTGGGCTGGTAACCACAAAGCGAATGGTTCAAACCCACCAGCTGCTCAGTGGGAGAAAGGTTTGACCCTCTGCTTCATAAAGATTGACAGTTTCAGAAACCCTATGTGGGATCATGATGAGTCACAATCATCCCAATGTCACTGGGCTTGAGTCTTGAGAATCATGGTTATCAATACTATTTTGACCCAGAAAGGGTTGTAAAGATACCTGATATCCTCTGTGCTAGTTAATGAATGTATGATGTTATACTTGTATGTCAACTTGAAGATGTAGAAGAATGTATGCGTAGTATCCAAGCTGTCAATCAGGTCCCAGTCTGATGGTGCCTTCTGGTGGTGTGGCCTCCTCATAAAGAGGGCTCTGGGAACCTTTGTCTTTCTCTCCCACTGACCCGGAGAAGTGGTGCTGGAGCCCTGTGAGGTTTCCACCGACCTTTGATAGACATGACTGCAGCCACCGGCCTGCGATCCTCCTGCATTCTGCATCATCGCATGGGGCTGCGTGAATCTGAAGAGGGACTTAGGGACTTGTCTTGGACTTCTGGACTTGAGTTGTACTAGACTGGGATACTTTCTTGATATATAATTACTTCTTGATAGAAAGTTCTTTCTTATACATATTTGAGTGTCTCTGGATTCGTTTCTCTAGTCAACCCAGCCTAACACACCCCCTTAGAAAAGAACTTGCCCATCAAATGACAGCCAAGGTTCTGAGGGGCCTGTGGAGGAAAGAGCTTTCTGACAAAATAGCTATCAGCAATATGTGTGTGAGACACTGGGAAACAACTTAAAATAAATTTACTCATTGAAGGACTTCTTGGGGCCGTTGGGACACCCCTGTCTATTCCATGGGAAATATTTCCCAAGACCATCGATTCTTTGTGGAGCATACTGGGAGGAGACCGCTGCCCCAAACACACGGGAAAGTGGCCGATCTTCCACATTGACTCTGCAAACACAGGAAGGGGGTTGAATACCTACTGTGTGCCCAAGCTGGCATGAGGTGCTAGCGGGTCAAAAGCACCAGGGAGATGCTGTTCCTGCCATCTGGCAGTTCTCAGCTTCTTCCTGTTAATTCAAAGACTGCTCCATCCCCAGCTTCCAGGTGCTGCTCGACTGTTTTACCTTCAGGTTGCTGGCATCCTTGCCTTCTGCTCTGGGGTCTTTATGTTTCTGCTCTCGATCCCATTTGACACCCACACTCCCTGAACTCTGCAGCCAGGGCCAGGGGAGTTGCTGGAACAGCCGGCGTTAGTCACCTAAAGATCTCAGCGGAGGCCACGAGGAGGCCTGGTTCAAACTCCGTTGACAGAGGAGAACACATGACAGGCCAGGGAGCCGTGCGACAGGTGCCACGGACGCCAGCTGCACCTCATGCCTTCCCACGCTCCTCGGGAAGCTTCTTCCTCAAAGGAAGACCTTGACAGTGACCCTTCTCACACTTGCTCTCTGGCTCCTCTGTCCGTTTCTCTTGCTACACTAAAGAAATACACTAGCCGCCAAACAGGCTTAATCCTGGATGTCCAGTAGGCTTTCTCTTCCCTCTGGCTTAAATTATTCTGATTTCTCCTGATTTTGCTTATCTTGTGGCCTGAGGCAAGTAGGATGGGGGAGGAGAGACAAGGTCAAACAAGACAAAAACACCCTTCTCATCCCGTCCTTTTGGCCTGAGTGAGCCAACACAGACATTTCTGAGACAGTAAGCTTGATGCCAACAAGAACCTCTTGTTTGGGTTTGAAAGGCCAACCTTGCAGTTAAT